TAGGTCATTCCGATCGAAATGACCGTATCTGAAATGGAAATATTTTGGTGTTGCTCCTCCCAACACTGGCATCCCACGACTGCGGTTTCGTCCTGGTTTGGACTCATCAGGTGGACATAGACTGAGATGTGCTCCGAGTTTCACCCCAGCTTGCTGAACAACCTCCTAGTGGTGCCAACTGGGTGGTTCTGGTTTTTCCCTTTCCAGCAAATGGTTCGGCGGCAGTGTTCCAGGACGTGGTGCTTTTTTGACTGACAACCGTTCTCCCAATAAAATGCCACGAATATCTGTTTAACGACACTGCGACATGGCGGATGTGACTCACCACTAAAGACAGTCACTGCCCCCTGCCCCTCCCTGAGAGGCATTGTACTTCAAGGGTGTTTTGGGTCCCTGGTCCTTCATGGACCGAAAGGCGCATGCACCATCTATTTGGTCACTGGCTTCCAACGGGTTGCGACGCCCCTACATCACCCTGCTGCCTTGTAGGTCAGCTCTTTGATCAAAACTTTGATGTAGGGCCCCCTAAAACAACCCCCTACTCCGGCCTTGGCAACCGGGTAATATCACGCCTACTGACGAACCATGGACCACACTGCTTAATACTGCTCATTCTATGCCTATCATCTTTGTTAACTCAACTATTCAACCTCCACTCACAGGTCACCCTATCTCCCGTCCTTCACCTATATGTACTCCGATGTCTTCTTCGCTCACCGGCACAAACGACTCTTGTCTCGCAAGGGATGGAAGTAACAGCGAAACTCCTGGTTTTTAATGTCATGCGATCGCAATTGTCTCATACTTCACCGAAACTCTAGCTGTTCTTCGACCTGGTTCTCCATTCATCCTTGCAGCGTTTAATTTTCGAACATTGACGCGGATCGGACGACAAGCATCTCTGGTCCGTACTCTTGAAACCCTCTCGGTAGACATCTGTTGCCTTTCAGAGACCAGATTACAAGACTCTAGCTCCGTCATCAAAATGGCCTCTCCAGTAACCCCTGACGCCAAATACCATTTGCGGCTTTTCGGAGACCCAGAAGCTGACGCTTCTGACCAAGCTGGTTTTGGGGTCGCACTGAGTTCCAGAGCTGAATCACCTCTGAGTGACTGAATCCAAGTAAACAGTCGGCTATGTGCAGTCAGACTACGAGGTTCGTGTAATGTAAGCAGGTGTCAAGACGTTAAGCGTGCCTTGTTTGTCGTCTCCGCCTACACCCCCTACAGACTGCAACCCGGATGCAGTCAAGGATTGCTTTTACCAGCAGCTACATGAACTTCTGCGTTCCTCCAAAAGGACTGATAGCGTAATTTTTGCTGGGGAAATTAACGCACGGGTGTGCCGCCTTCCACCAAGCGAGCACCAACTTGGGTGTAGCTTTGGTCTCGGTGGCAGTCGATCAGACAATGGAGAGAGACTGTTTGCTCTTTGCTCTGATCGTCGCTTGGTTCTTTCGAGCACTAGTTTTCGGCGCTCGAGGTGACACACTACTACCTGGCGCCCGCCATAACAAACGCAAGAGTGCTTCCACCTTGATCACATAGCAATCAGCTACAGATGGCGCGGAAGCGTAACGAACGGGCGATCGTACTGGTCAGCTTATCTAGACTCCGATCACGCATTCGTTCGTGCTAAGCTTTGCATGCGTTTCGGAGGATCATCCAAGCGCATTCACTACCGACCGAGCGTCGCAAATCTACAAAACCCTACGATTTTAACCAGATAACAAGCCTCACTGTCAACATTGCTTGGCTCAACTATTGACGGTGACCTCGATTCGCAGTGGGCGCAGATCAAAGAGGCCTTAATTTCCACCAGTATCGACACTTGTGGAGTCGGCCGTCACCCATCGAAGCATTGGATTTCCGCCATCTTCTTGTCGCTGATGAACAAACGCCGCTTGATCCGTCGGATTCCAGCCACATTGAAGTACGCCAATCCCTGGGTCGAGAGTTGCGCAGGAGACTGCAATTTGACCGCGAAGCTTGGTTGTGCGAACTTGCTAGGGAGATGGAGCTTGCTAATCTCTCTGGTAATACCAGATAACTTTTTCATCTCATTCGAGTCACCGAAGACGTCCGATCTGGTATGAGTGAAACAATATGCGAAGACGATGGCACCTTAAGGACCAACCTTCAACGAAGGTTGCAGCAATGAGCCGAACCTTTTGGCTCGCAGTTTTGTTGGCCCCCAGCTCCATCTGCTACCACTGGCGCTCGCAATGGGACCGAGTGGTCTACCCCACTGATCCTCCCTCTTAACAGGAAATAGAACAGGAGCTCCGTCACAGGAAGTGTTATAAAGCCCCGGCCCTGATAGTCATCCTCCAGCTCCATTTAACGATGGTGACGCTTCGCTGGTTCGAGAAGCCGCTGCTTTATTCGCGAAAGTTTGCTCGAAAGAGGAAGTTCCAACATCTTGGGGTGAATCGATATTCGTCCCCATCTTCAAAAAGGGTCTGAGCACGATCTGTTCTAACTACAAAGGCATAAGCTTAGTCCCCGTCATTTGCAAGCTGCTGGTGTCCATCATAATTTGCAGTCTATCCCCAACGCGCGCATCGTTGCAGCGATAAGAACAAGCTGGATTTCGCCATGGTCGCGGCTGCATCGATAAAATCTTCACACTCCGCCAGATGCACAAGTTCCGCCTTGTGTATGAGAAGCTAAGGATTGCTGTGTTCTTGAATATCCGTGCAGCCTTTGATTCTGTCGATAGTGCCTTACGGTGCTCGTGTGGAGCACCGTATAGATGGTGGGTTGCTGAACATCCGTCATTTCTGTGCAAGAATACTAATCTGTGAGACAACTATCGGTTTGTTGCTGACGACTGTGCGTTGTATGAACCCAGCGCAGATGGGTTGCAGCACATGACTAGTGCTCAGACTTCCACAGCGGCCAAATTCGGGCTTGCCATCAGTACAAACAAAACAGTCTGTCCCTTTCAGCATTCACCGGAGGTGCAATCTACAGTGGTGCCGCAAATCAGCATTGGTGCTGAAGTATTGCAAACAGCCTCCCACTTCTGCCACCTTGGGAGTGTGGTGCCGAGTGACCAGCAGCTTCACAGTGAGTTTCGTATTCGAGTCTCGAAGACAGCGGTGGCCTTCGGGAAGCTGGAGTGCCGAGTGTGGAAAAACCAGCAACCTACCATTAGCACGAAGCTGGTGGTGTACAAATCCATGGTGCTATCCATTCTTCTTTACGGCAGTGTAACGTGGGCGATGTACCGGCGGGATGTGCGATATCTCGAGCGGTTCCATCAACTGTGTTTGCGACGGATTCTGCGCATTGGTTGGCGCGACGCAGTTGCAGACGCGGAAGTATTGCGCCGTAGTGGAATGTATGTAGTGGACAGCATACTTTTGCTGTGACAATTGAGGTGGCTCGGTCATGTGTGGCGTTTGGATTCGACGCGGATACCGATGCAGCTATTATACGGTCAGATGAGTATTGGGAAGCGGCATATGAGGAAACCGAACCTTCGTTACCAGGACATGATCAAAGTGAGCCTCTCGCTTTTCTATCTTGACTGCAGGTCATAAGAATAGAAAGCGTTTGAGCAGCGTGTATGGTGCGACCTGACCACGAAGGCCGTTGCCGAGATGCAAGAAAAGTGCAGAGAAGAATCGGCAGTTGCGGAAGGGACAGTCGCCGATGGGTTGCACTCCATCGGTATCGAGCACATGGTGCTGTAGCACATGCGGTTGCGAGTGCCTAAGTCAGGCAGACCTAGTGAGTCATGAGCGATGCCATGCGCGGCCAACACCGAAATGACGACGAGTCCTGCAGAGAAAGTAGGCAGAACCGGCGCAGCTTTTGTAGGCACGCTGCATTCGATTTACTAATCGCGTGCTTACATGCTGGGTCCCTTTATTTCAAGTGGTGGTTTTGCTATATTGCTCCGATGCTTTTTCTCCCATATTAATGTCTAGAAATTTGCACACATCCCTTAAACTATTTCTCTCGTTTGTTGCATTTCCTTAAACGATATTTTCCAACGTCTTGAACTTATCGCGGATTTGTTTGCAAACAATTTATTTCATCTGCTCATTTCTTGAAGAGTTATGTCCCCGTATCTGTGTGCATTATTGAATTTATTTCGGTTCATCTTTACCTTTTAAGTGATTGGCTGTTGCTTGATATCCACGATGTGGCTGCGCTAGATGTGCATGTTGATAAGGTGTCTACCTGTCTATACCCACTACCTCGTTCACACGGCCTCCAGGACACAGTTGGTCGTTGCTGGAGGGGACGGGGTGCACGGTCCTTGTGGTCGTGCTAGGCTCGAAGAGCGGTACCATGCACTCAGTGTGGAGCGGACTACGGTCCAGTCACCGCCTTGTGTGCGATTGATTCCTAAATACAGCGTGCTTGTGTTTGCCTGTGAAGGAGTGTGGGCCGGCTACCTTGATGGCACGTGGCTCCCATCCACATACCCCCCGATCTTATTCCTTCGGGTTTACACTGGATATGGGTGTGCGGTTGGAGCTGTGGGTTGTACAGCGCAAGCCACCCATGGTCCCTCTTTAGGCGCAGGCGTCCTGTGGCTGGCCACAGTGACTAGCAAATCTGAAACCGGATGCCGCCAACTATAATGCCAAACATGTGCCGCTATTGCGACTGTGTTCCACAAAATTGTTACTTCCTTGCGGATGGGAGCCCATCACGGGTGGCAAATGAAGCGCGAATGTTTCCTTCAAAATTACCACTAAACTTCGTAGTTTTTCAGTTAAAGTACGACTACAAGAATAGTTTCTTTCACGAAAATAAACAGGTAGTAGCAGTCAAGTAATTAACTGCGGTACCGTCGTACAGCCTTCTATCAATACCATTGAGGTTCGGAAGCGTTTTACGAACGTTGTCATCTTTTCTTAAACAATTATCCACTATGAATTCAACCCAGTTTAGCTACACCGTTGAACGGTTTGCTAAAACAGCATTCATCCTTTTTACATATGCACACATTGTAAAGATTCGTCTTCTTTTCATTTTAGTGCGTATAATCCAGCGGACTATGAACACCTTAATGTATCACCAGAAATTAAAGAGCTATTTGAATACATTCAAAGGTAATCAGGGAGACCTGGTTTTCGCAACCCATTTCATTCTAGATACACGCCGCAGACAATAGAGCTGGAGACACATTTAAGACCATTTGTACCAGACTACATTGCAGCTGTCGGTGATATAGATGCGTTCCTCAAGGTTTGGTTCTGATGATAACTCATCGAATTACTGTCTTTAGGTGCCCAGGCCGGATGGGATGCCAGATAACCTCGGACTTCATGTGTTAGATGAGCCGTGCGCGAAACAGTCCGATCCCACAGTTCTGGACTTGCATCTAAGAACCCTATCCAAGCAGTCTGCTGCAAGACAGCTGGTAAGCCCATTGCATAGTGCGATGTTTTAGATTCATTCACTGTCCCCCTCTGGAAGCAATTGCTACTGACAATAGGAACGAAAGCCACGGGTCATTCTACTCATGTTATTCGCATCGTCTATGGTGGATTGCTTGCACACGATCCTTGTACGTTAGTGATCCCAACGTATTTTAACTAGAATAATACGAATGTTCGACTTTTGTTTCTTGTGCATTGCTTGCAGCTCATCTGCAACCTCCACACCCAAACATAGAGTATACAAACGCATTGATTAATGATACGTTGAGGAGAGTACACGGTTGTGGATCCTGTTAATGAATCCGGAATCAGCTGCGAATTTAGCGCCTAATATATTATTAATCAGTAGGAGTTTACTGATAAACGTGCCGGTAGTACATCAGGATCGTCACTTTGGTCTCGTGCAACCGTAGGCTGTTGTGTGCGGGGATGCATGTTACCAGGCGCCCAGACATAGACAGGAGAAGGGAATCGAGTCCTCAACACCAGGATGTAGAGCTACAAGCTGAACACTTGCATTACTATACCACAGACCCGCTTCCCGATGAACGTCTTAACAAAATTTGTTCCTTTCGCTTTAAGCCGCATGCGGGTCTTACATGTTCACTGCTCCTTTCTGTCGAGAATTCCGCAAGAATATCCCGGCATTTCATTGGTATGCACAAAAGTTGTATTTGATATTCACCTTGCTTCTCGTTTACCTACTTTTGTTTACTATCATGAACGTACCGACGCTACTCAAAGTAACTGGATCTACGGAATATCGATGTCCGGAAGATCGTCAAAAATAGAACTGACGACTTAACCAAGCTCTAGGCGTTTACGCTGGCGTCTAGATCGACACATGAGTAAGATTACGGGTTATTACGGGTAAAAAGAACCGATGCTTGACAAATCCACCACGCTAGTCGGGTCAAGAATATCAAGATCACATTTGGAAGAACCAAAAATCCATTTGCCAGTGGACTTGCCGGATGTAAATGAGGCTGCACCGATAGTTTGTGGAGAAAGCTGATGGGCATATTGTGCGTTTGTACTATGTCCTCTTTTAACGAACCCGCTCACACAGTGCGCACTACTGAGGGACAGTTCATTAAAACTTTAGTTTGAAAGTTTTAACGTGAAGCTAGGAAGGACAAACTAAGAGAGAAATAGCTTCGGTGACGTTCCATCAAGCAAGCTGGTGGTTCGTCAGTTTAGTATTTTTGGTAATTTTTAGTAATTTCTTGAGATGACAGAAAGCATGACCGAGCTCCTGTGAATTTGGTTCATCAATTTGACATCATAAAGCAAAAGCCGATGCGGCGGTGTAAAATCCAGGGATTTGTCTGCTTTGGCACAAAAGTGGGCGCAGATACTTAACTTTCTTAATCACACCTTGCTGGGGCCTCTTAGAGAGACTAAAACTGTGCTGGTGTATGACTACCAGGATTGAGTAACGTACTCCACATGAAGCCTAGCTTAAGCAGCATAAAAAAGACTTCAGCAGTACGCCGGCACTGACGCCATGCCGCTACTCAACCACCACCAGTCACACGTGAGCTAAGGAAATTGTGAAGGTCCCCGATCCATATGCAGGCTCGAATCCTCGCCCTCGAATTGCAAGGCAGGCTGGTTATCCTTAAGACTACGCGCCAGCTATAATCAACAAGCTTTTTAGGAAATGTGCAAAAGTGAAACCACTCGAGATACCTTCGCAATATACTAGAACCAGGTCTGGCTTTACATACTACAGTTTTGGTCTATCTCGAACGGATGCTTCGCGGTCATTTTCAAGGATAGTACACCATAAAGACTGCACCTTGAGCGGATTCCCTTAAGCACCATGATAATTCATATTCAGCACAGTACCTGACAGCATTCAGTCGGTGCTTCTCTGGGTCGACCACATGTAGGTAATATGGAAGTTAACTTTTGGTGTCAGGTGATCGACTTCTGTTTCATTACAAGCCCTTTGGCGATCATTAGAATTCGAGATAAGTATACTCAAGAGACCAGTAATTAAAACCAGCGGCAAATGGGGTCTTAACGCTAAGCCCTGTAGTGAACCCTATTAGGTTTTTATCGATTCAGACGGTATGTTATGATCTTTCCTCTATTCAGATGTGGTCGGAGAGCGGAACTGACTAGAAAACCTAGTTAGGCATCACAGAACAAGCAGTACTGAAGCTTGTAGGGAATAATGCATTGGTCCATATGATTAAATATTCTCCAGACTTCAGGATAGGTGTTGCCAAATCACACTCCAGCATCGAATGTTTCCATTCATTTTGCATGGCTTACCATAAAGTTCGTTGTTGGTGAGCGATACTGGGGAAATTCTTACTGTTTACACAAAATGAAGCTGCATCACTCCATACACGTGCTGGAAGTCGAAGTGGTGATGGCCATTTAACTTTACAAAGCACCAGATGCAGATGCTGCGCTGGCTATCTCCACCTGAATAGTACAACCAAGGACGAAAAGACTTAGAGGGTGAAGTTTGGGATTGACACCTGACATCATACCGGATGTAGTGTGACCTGATGGTAACCACGAGTTCAGCACGGCCACTGTCATCGAATGCAGGATTAACAGTACAATTCCTCCATATCTTTAGAGGCAGTTTTATCGAGACAGGGTTGAAAAGTTAGGGATAGCGCCTCATGCATGTTTATAGTAATTCGTTTCAGTGCACTCGGACCGACATCTTCTTGATCATGAGAGTGGTGTTGAGGCAAAACATGGAGCTTAGCACACTTCCATGCCTTAAAGTGATGTGGCTAAGTCTGAATGGCGATGCGATCTTGTGGGAAGTCGAGACGATGCTATATTCTGGAAGGTAAGAGCGAGCTGTTGCCGAACAGCAGAGACAGCTCCTGTCACAACACTCCATACGTATAGAACACGCTTATGGGTTCCATTCGAACTCAGCTAAAAGTCATCATTTTTAAGAACATGGTTGAAGAAACAGTGCAAGAATTGCGTCTCTGCACTGGACACAGGTTGCGTCATCACCATTTTGCTCCTTTTCCCAAATGCATTCGTCTGTGGCGTCGTTAGTAACAAGACCAACCGTGTCATGGCTTGTCCTAAATCATATAAGCGACAAAGGACAAAACATCAGTGTTGTAAATTATCGTTTCCTAGTCTTCAGTTTCAACACACCAGTAACCTCATACGGTCTTACTATTTAAATGCTGACATCCCTCAGAGATTGCCTATTAAGATTTCGATGAGATTCTTGTTGCTATGATGATCCAAGGATTCTGCCAAAGTTTCAAATGGTATTGCTATATTTTCTCCCTCTTGATCTCTAAAATTAGAAGTCAAACCTTGTTTAGTTCTTGCGCTGGTAGGTTTGCTTCACATTTTGCCGATACCTTAACACGGCCTGATCTGCCCGCTTTGGTCTTCGGGTGAGCGCAATCGTACCGCGAAACCATGTGGTCTCTTAGATAACAGAGAAAGGCTATCAGGCTGAATAGTGCCTCGTCTTTTCGTCGAGTACTGCACACAAATTATTCCGGAAGTGTATTCTGTAACCCAGTAGTACATAAGTATTTAGGATTAAAAACTGGTGTTTCGAATCGAAATTTTTTACTAAACTTGCCTTTGCTTTTATAGCGAACTCTCCAGCTTGTAGTATGGAAAATCAAAAGCCTGCCTTACAACCCAAGAACGCAGGTTCGAGCCTGCACAGGGACCGGGCGACACTCGCAGCATCCTTAGATCACGTGCGACTGGTGGTGGTTGCACAGCAGCAAAGCGTCGGTAATGCGTACCGGCGTATGGCTGACGCCTGCGGTTGCGTTGGGCGGATAGGCTGTTGATTAATAACGACAACCCTATTTGTATCCTTGACCAACAATATATAGCTTGGTAATGCATCTAGAGTCTAGATTCTAGACTCTATTCCCTCTCAGATAAAAGGGAGCAAACTATAAAGACCACTGGAACGGGTTCATTCCTTCCTCCCACTGGGATAGCTGGATTCTAAAGTTGGATGTGTTGCTAATCCTTATCAGACAAAAGGATTATCTGCATTTCATGATGTAAAATTCATAGCGCATGGATGTCTTTCCGTCCACCTTCCTAGTCTGTGACGCATATACTCTAATGTTCATTAATCTCCGCAAATGTTAGAACTGATGGATTAGCGGTGTTGTGAAAACAATTTGCAGTGTGTTCTCAGGGATAAGCACAAAACAGCAGCAGTAAATTTGCGTTTAAACTTACCTTTCGTAAACAAACGAAACAAGTATCCAGATAGAATCTAAGCCCCTTTCAAACACGTGCTGGATGAAGCAAATGGTTGTGATATGGAGATAGCTTTAACCGCTACTATGAGTACTCCGGAAAATCGATTTGTGTCGCCAAGTAGGTTTGATAATCGCATGGATTCTAAGTGACTAAATATGGGTTCCATGTTAGGGCTACCATTCAGTTCTCGTTTCTATGTTTGTATATTAATAGGTGGTCCGAAGTATAGAAAATGCTGATGAGTGTCCGAAAGCAATCAACAATTGGATCAAGAGCATCTCTGATTTGCACAGAGCGAAGCCACCACCGACAGTTCACTATTTGAGGTGGGTGCTTTTCTCTTAATAATGTGGTGTATTGTTCATTCACTTACCTGAAGTCAGTCATTTTGCAGTTACTAGACAACGCCTATCTTCTACAACAAGAACTTCTCCGGCCAAGTGAATGAGTTCGACTGGTACAACATCTAAAAATTTAAACCGGAACTGCGGTAACAGAAGATTGAAACAAATGGTCACATTGTAGGCATAGGTTGACATACAATTTGCAGTTGTGCAGCTGAAGAAGGACGATCGATTCGTATGCTGTACCGTGCAGTCACCCTCCCGCTGTGCTCCTGATTCACAAAAAATACTCTTCTATTTATCTTCGAACATTCGTGTAAGTGGGCTCAATCGTACCAGTTCGACAGATTGCACTCCGTGCTCTATAATTCTTAGATACAATTCGTTGCCTAAGGAAATTATTTTGACACATTATTTAGTGAAAATCGCGTACGTAACTGTAGTTCTCCTAACCTGTACGGGAATACGTTTCGTCTCATCTGGAAATATAGACTGAGCACTAACAAACTATCCCGTTGGCCGTGTTATTAATAACTATGGTACAGTTTATTAATGTCCTTCGCTGTACAAAGCTGTGAAGTTATAGCTTGCCAGTATTATACTTGGGTCCGTCGCAGAACTAATTACCACTAACCCTTGATCGATTGACTGGTTAATGCATACAGACAGTTCGTTCATGATCCAGCCGACATCTGCAAAGCATTTAGCTCATCTTTCGCTACCTCCATGAGCCTGGAGACGACCACATTAAATGCATGTATTGCGATGCAAACAACCAAGGCCCTGTATCATTGAATTTCCTATCATTGCTATGAAACATGTAATGAATTTTATCAAACCGTCTTCGCATCTGGATTCAGGTGGTGTCATATTTGCCATCATAACACTGAGATGGCCTGACATGCGGTTAATATTGCTGAACTTGTTTACCCTTTCGCTGGAATCAAGCTACTTTACAGACCAGTGGAAAACATCGCTCATCATCCCCAGTCACAAGGGTGTCTCCAAACAAGTAATTAACCTTTACCGCCCAATGCATCACACCCATGTAGTAGCCATAATATTAGAGAAACTGGTTAAGAATGGTGTGATGAAATTCCTCAATTCGCTGGAGCTAATAGACAGGTCACAGCATGGTTTCTTGGACAAACAATCGTGCATAACCTGTCAATTATCTTATCTAAACCAGCTTTGGGGTTCTATTGACACGGCATAGGCACTCATACTTCTGTTCCTGGACATGGAAAAGGCATTCAGTCGAGCGCCCCATAAACGGCTACTGGAAAAGATTGCATCCTTTGGAATTCAGGACCCACTCCTACCCTGGCTATTGTCATACCTGAGCGGCAGTTCTCAGGTAGTTACCATAGCCGGCCACTACTCTTCACCACGTCCAATCAATAGTGGTGTTATTCAAGGGAGTATAGTTGTTCCGTTACCCTTCTTGCTCTACTTCAATGACATTAGGGCGGTTATCAGTCATGGCATGCCTTTCCTATTTGCAGATGACATAGTCTATAAATTCCGACGAGCGGAACTTTAAGATACATTACTGCTCGTACAAGAAGACCTCCGCTCCTCTGATAAATGGTGTGACACCTGGATGATGAAGTTCTCGGCGAAAAAATCTAACATCATTAATCGTGGCTGTTCGATACCAAAGGGATCAATTACACACAACAGCGAACACCTTTGTGTTCAGTTGTCTACCCGCGACCCAGAAATTAAGTATTCTTGCGCCTTCAACTTTTCTGAACAAGTGGAATACCAGCTGGCTAGGGCCAGAAAATCAATAGCTAATATATTATATAAGATCCACATAACCCCAGCCAGAGTATAACTCTTCAAAATCCTCACTCGCCCTACTTTAGAATACTGCAGTATCATTTGTGGTAGCATGAGGAAATCTGACAGAGTAACTCTGAAAAGTATATAAAGATCATTTACTAAACGTCTGCTAGTCAAAACATCCACCAAGAACTATCGGGAGCGCTGTCAAGAATTCCAGCTCGATCCGCTTTGGCTACGAAGATTGACACAACCTGATGCCTCTATACAACATGATTCATTAAAAGGGCCACGGCTATTTGCCCTCCCTAGAACTGCAACATAGTTCGACAAGGGAGCTACGTAATAAGGAGATTATCCTGAGTATACCCGGGTGCGGCGTAAATCTGCGGTCTAACTTTTTCCTTATCAGATATGCTAATCTGTGGAATAAGCTCCCAGTCACAATCAGATCATGTGAGAGCGCAACGGCCTTTCATGTTAAGCTCACCAATTACCTGGATTTTTACACGATTATGACCCTATTCTTTTGGGAGATATCACTTGATGATTTGTACCAAGAAGGTGCAGACAACATTTAATGAGTGAAACAAAAAACGTTATACTGTGTGACACACCCCTAGTGCTGTTACCACCCACTATTCCAAATAGTGCACCTTGCGTTGAAACACACCTGTGTGTTAATACAAACCATTGAAACAGCAAAAGCTATAGAAAGCACACATCTGCTTACCATTCACGCATGAGCATGACATATTCTGTAAAATATGCTCTGTGCCAAATATGGCCACAGTTTCTCACTCGATGAGAAATGTAGCTATTATTATTATTATTATCATCATCAGTAAACCGCTTCACCCGTCGCGATTTCGCACTACTGCGGCCGTACGCACTCGATATATCTGATAGCGGAATACACCGATTCGCATGCATCTATTTGGAAACCGCCACTTGTCCACGCATATTATCCTTGGCACCGAAAACTGGTGGTGACCATGCTTCAGCAGTATACTACTCTTCAACAATAATTTTATGTGACCCAATGGATGCCAGCAGTCAGTCAGCCGAGTCTAGAGGTGATTGTGGGGAGTGCAGTAACATTGTTACAAGAGGAGGTTAATGCTATAACTGCTCCAACTTTTTCGAACCAAAATGTGCAAACGTGACGCCAAGTCAAGCAAAGGTGTACAACAGCCAGCCACACTCTCTCTGGTTCTGCGTGGCATGTACGACCATTCCGATAATTTCAACCTTAATTATATCCTCCCGGAATTGCAAGCGTCTGAAAGAAACGTACATGAAAATTTGAACTCGAAACTTGCTTCAATTGGGCGCAACGAAATGTATGAACTAGACCGCTTCATTGAACTCCAGAAAAACGCAGTGCACAATGCCGAATGCTCTACTAGTAAAGAGACAATTGAAAGCACAATAACCAATCCCTTGACCGCAGCCGCAGTCGTTTCAGCTGTTCCGGAACTGGACATGTCAAGACCAATTATAACAATTTTTCCTACACCTATTTCTTTCCGCCATGCTTTGCCGAAACTCAGGAGGTAAGCCGAGCACAGAGGCCGCTGGGATGCAGTTGCATCCAGTACACACCGAAATTGTTAGTTGCAGTTTTTACTGTAAAATACAAGGCTAATATGGGAAGCGATGTCACACTGGTACGCAGTAGATCACCGAGTATCCTAACGCAGACCCATACTTCATTGGAATACACAGGAAAAACGGGATGTCTTATTCATAATTTCCCAGCTTTCCGAAATCCGTGTTATATTCAACAAATGGAAAGTGAATGTATGACCTGAGCCAATGGAACATCCTGAGCAATCTACTCGTCGTTCCGGCTAAACCCACTACCCTGACGATAATCACTATTCACCGTAATTCCAGACAACTTACTTTTTCGGGTTATGAGGAACTCTGTCTATAACATTGAAACTTTTGTTTCTGATAGCCCAACTCCGGAACTGATCCTGTTTAGTGCATGTCCTTTTAGACGTTCCTCGAGTCTAAGCGAAACAATGAAGAGCATCGCGTGGACACCGCAGCTTGGACCGTCTTAGTCTACGGCGTCATCCAGTTTCATGAGCATGACGGATGGAAAACAGAGGCTCACAACCAGGAGCAGTGGAGATAAATTCGTGAAGATCTTCTCCTAGACTACGTTATAGATGTTGCTCTCTGCAGATGACCAAGGTCAGTAAGCCACAAAGAGTGCGGCCTAAGGACAATAAACAATGGAATAGTGGAATAATGATGTATCACGAGTAAAAAGCAATGCTTAACAAGCCCCGTGTGACGGGAATTATAGGTAAAATAAAGATCTATGATAAAATGAAATGATTCCGTGGACTCACCATAGTATTTGTATTGAGACATACTTAAAAGAACCCAGATTTTCACACACGGAAAGTATAACTCCATTAATTGGAATCTTGGAGACACTGTTTGGTTGCGTTAGGTAGCCTACTGGCCAACACAAGTTAAAAAATGAAAGGCGATTGGGACAATGCTTCGTTAAGACGTTTTTCAAAGTATCTAATTTTGGGGCAGTGCCAACATAAAGTAGAGAGCGTCCCACGAGTTACGCACTGGGCGTGAGACGAACTTCTACGGCATTCCAGTCGGCTACACAGTATTGTTAGTTTAAAAGGATCACCTCTTAGGTTGGTGTTGTGATTCGGTTCCAATAGCTTGTGGCGATTGTGGTTTAGGTTCTTCAGGAGCTGGCAAAACATTATGAGGTCCCCTCGTAAGCACCAATATGGACTGCTATACATTCCCAGTGACTTCACTCTAGGATGATAGGGACGATGAAAAAGCCCCTTAATGTTCTTGGTTGCCCTTCTTTGAAGAGACTCGAGAGCAGCAAGACCTTGCCTCCAGCACGGGTGCCACGCCTGGTTGCGAGAAGATGGAGGGGTCAAACCGATCGAATGCCCCTGGAAGAAGGCCGACCAGTTTATCACGGGTCCTCGACGCTTTCTCATTTTGTTTTGAGCAGCCGAGATCGTCTTGTGCCAGTTTCCCCAAATCCCGCTCCTGAGAAGCCTCTGAAAGATGTTTTCTCCACGTTTGTAAATGCTCACCGCAGATGGATCACCTTGCACTTGGCTATGTTGAACTAGACTAGGTTCTAAGTTGAACATTCCTTAACGCAACCTGGGTTACCTTGGAGAAAATCG